CCTGTTTTTTTTTTTTTTTTTTTTTTTTTTTTTACCGTCCATTTCCAGGAAAGTGTTCTATTCTGCCCGTTAACCAAATTCAGCCAGTTGTACAGTAATTGCGATCGTGCACTTCCCTTCAACTGCCCAATTTATCGTAGGAAAAATATCTTTCATTTTTCGTATGATAATTGTAAGGTGTATGGGAACTTTTACTATGTTTTTTTTTTTTTTTGTATGAATGGCTGTATTTGCATGTCTAACCAAAGTGCTGCTGTTTGGTTTCTGTCCATGCATGTTGCCTTGAACACTCAACAATGTATCAGTGATGATGGACTGGCAGAAGGGCAATGGCGATGCTAGTTCACTTGTGTTCTTTCAAAATGGGCACAAAGTCTGCCAAAGACTAGCTCTTCGCTCCACAAAGCCATAGCCACCGCTCCAAGCTCACTCTCGTGATGGACTATAGTTTCAATACAAATTGGCTAACTAAATGTGAGCTTGGAACAGTTTACAACACACTCGGGGACCATGGGGAACGAAAGTAGACCCCCCCCTCCAGAAGGAAGGACAGTGGCAGCACCAATTCAGAGATGATCTGAGGATCTATAGCCTAGTGATACATAAATAAGATACATTTTTGTTAAGGTACTTGAATGTATTCAGTTTTAACTCTTGAGTTCGGTGTCTCTAAAGTGTAATGTATAGGCAGCCGTTATTGTTTGTTCTTTGGCTTCCGTACTGTCCAAAAAAAGAAAAAAATGTAATAGAGATATATATATATATATATATATTTAAATTGTGGGGTTTTTTTGTGTACGCCTTTAACTTGGAATATTTTCAAGCCGGAGGATCAGCATGATATCCAGGGAGCTATTCTTTGGAGCCATGCTGGTTTGAATAATATTGCACAGTACTGTATTTGCTAAAAAGCACACAAAAAAAGCTTCACAGTAAGTGTGCACAGGTCTGTCTGCGTTCTCAACTAGAGGAAGCCAGGACCACGTGTCAGAGCGGGAAGGTGGTTGTGTTCGTCGCCCGATGTGGAGTTCACGAACGGAAGCAAAATTTTGCCAAACTTTCTGTTCGTGAACCAAATTGTTCACAAGCGTTTGTGAACCGAGATATTACTGTATTTTCCCTTTCTGTCCTGGTAATGACCTTGTTCTTTGCACAGCAGGTTGCTAAAATCTATCAAAAGCCTGACCAATTCAAACCCTTCCCTAGAAACTCAAACTACAAGTGTCTGGAGTTGCTCCTTAGGCTCTCCTCCTCTATATGGGGGTGACCTTAGGCTCTCCTCCTCTATATGGGGGTGACCATAGGCTCTCCTCCTCTATATGGGGGTGACCATAGGCTCTCCTCCTCTATATGGGGGTGACCATAGGCTCTCCTCCTCTATATGGGGGTGACCATAGGCTCTAGGCTCCTTAGGCTCTCCTCCTCTATATGGGGGTGACCTTAGGCTCTCCTCCTCTATATGGGGGTGACCATAGGCTCTCCTCCTCTATATGGGGGTGACCATAGGCTCTCCTCCTCTATATGGGGGTGACCATAGGCTCTCCTCCTCTATATGGGGGTGACCATAGGCTCTCCTCCTCTATGGGGACAAAACCTTACTGCCATCTCTCTTGATCCACTATGTATTTGTGTAGAGCTATTCTTTAATATAGGTGATTGATGGTTTGTATGATAAACACTTGTTCAATTTCTGGCAATTGATTTCCAGAAGTGCTCTGATTTATGGGTTCTCGTGGCTCTGGGCAGGTGCCTGTGTTTACTATGTGGCCCCATCTGATCCGTCTCCGCCATAAGAGAAATAATAACATCCTGTGCTGCGGCACACACCTGCGTCATCCTGATCAGGATACCTGGAAGCTGGCAGTGCCGTGTTTGTTCTTGATATGTAAACATGTGAACCTTTCATGAAATAGGTTTTAGAGAGTCTTGCTTGGCCAGCAGCTGTTGGACTTCCTTTGGTCATAAAAACCATAGCATCCTTGTTTAAAATGTTAAATGTTTCTCATCGTGTTTACCCAGACAGAAAATAGAATGTTTGGATTGCATTTTTTTCCAGTTTCCGTATATCTTTAAGAACGATTATGTTCACATTAAAATTGGGCTAAAAATAACATGTGGTTCTATCCTGGGAAAATGTTTTTTTCACTTGTACTTATATGGTGGGCTGGGTTGTATGAACAATGTCTATATCAAGGGAGGAGAAAGGCAGAATGAAAGTGTTAGTAAAGTTAGTTACTGGGGAAAGGTGGTTACTGGGGAAAGGTGGCTTAACTCCTTTTTGGGTTTTTTATTGCTGTTAGTACAGAATTTTTGAATGAAAAGACGCACAATTTTAAAGCTGTCGCAGGATCAGACGTAGGGAGGGAATGGAGGATCGAGCTTCCATTGGGGACACCAGGAGAGATCTCCTTGCTTTTGGAGGGATTGCCATTTGATTTCCGTGCAGTCTCAGGGATGGGAAATGAGACGGCAAGACCCTTGATGGGACTTGACTAGGGATGCACCGAAATTTCGGCTGTCTAAACATATCGGGCGAAAATGGCACTTTTGGTACAATGCCGAAATGACGGTGCATCCATAGTTTCTCTCCTCCTCGCAGGCTGCTGCTGTGTCCCCCTCTGACACAGCGCAGCGTTCAGCAGGGAGGAGAAACTGTCAGAGGAGGCCGAGCGGTGTGGGGGAGGAGAGCACTGTTAATACCTGGCATGTCACAGGAGGCCAGGCTCTCCTCCTGCACCGCCCCCGCTCAGTCTCCTCTGTCCAATCAGGATGGAGAGTGGCGTTGTGGGGTAGAGACAGCTGTCAAAATAGACCGAGCTCTCCTCGCACCATCGGCTCAGTTGTGACAGTCAGGATGGAGAGCAGTACAAGCAGCGAGCTATCGGTGATCGCTGAATGTTTATAAATAACTGGACATGGTATGAGTTACTAAGTACCAGTTATGAATGAATGGGAAGTGCTATACATCAATTGTGTACATGGTAAACATACGATCTCCACGAGTTATGAAAGAACAGGAACACTCAGTATAGAGGATTCCTGATCATTTTCTTACAGTGGATGCAGAAAGATTGAGGACTCTGTTCTCAATCTCTTTTCCTATTTTAAAAGGGAAATATCAGAGATCTGTTTTAGACCCCTAATATTTCACCAAAGCCCCTCAACAGTAAAGTTAACCTCTTGCCGTCCGCCCGTAGTAAAAAAACGGACAGACGGCACTGCAGCATCTGCGGGTTGCCGTCTCCAGACGGCAATTTTTTTCTGCTCGCGCGCGCCCCCTAGCGGGCACGCACGGGCAGAAAAGACCCGCTACCGGGTGTTTCACATACGGGCTGTGAATGCAGAAGTGATGTGTGTTACATCACTTCCGCAATTTAATAAAAAATTAAATAAAATATACAAAAATTAAAGGTTAGAAGAAATTATTTTGTTCACAAATTTTCATTTCAGTGCACC